GTTGCTTCATGTACTCTCTATTCACCCCTATTATCATAAAACAACTATAACAACGAAGTAAAATAATTGAAATACAAAACCCCAAACAGTAGTTTTGTTTCGTACCTGAAAATGAATGAATAATACGTATACGAATACCTTAAAATGAACATTCTATGCTTTTAAATGTATAAATGTAATCTAAATATTTTGAAATTTTATTGATAAAATCTTCGAGGAATTAAAACTCTAATCAGGTATTTTCAAATTACATTTCTTCCTCTTAAACTTTTGCTTCTACTTTGTCTTCAGAATTTATTAGTGTATCTTTTAGTTTTCATCTTAAACCAGCAATCCTAAACCAATTTAAAATTCTATTCAAATCGAAATGCACCCGCAACTTTCATGAAAGTCTTATTATTTCACCGCGTATTATTTCTTTTTGAGTTTTTAGAGCAACTATATGTATCTACGGGTTTTGCGAAGCTAAAACGTTTTGAAAGAATCGTTTTAGGGTATATATTTCTATCATTTATCCGCCATAAAGAAATTTACTTCGTACGCTTAATAAAAATATACGTAAGAATATTTCTTTCAAATTCCAGTTCTTGAAAATACACTCATGTCCATAAATTAAGGATAATTCGGAGTCACACGGAAATCGAACTCTAAATTAAATATATCACCTGTAAAAATCACTACACACATCTTCAAGAATCATATGCAAATTTCAGGAAGCAACCAGATGACACCGATGGTACATTACAATGACGAGAGTGTAAGAGAGTGATATATAAGGAATACAGGCAAAGAAGTAAAATTGTTCGCAGGCGCTTTATAAGCATTTCAGTGCAATAACCGAATAGTTATGACACAAAGGACGCATTTGGATGATTTTTTACGTGGTAGAATTATCGGCCGTCTGGAATGTGGGCGTACCCAACTGGAAGTATCAGACGAACTTGGAATTGCCCAGAGTGTCATCTCCAGGCTTTGGCAACGATTCCAAGATGATGGTAATGTGAGTAGACGTTACAGCACAGGTCGCCCCAGAGTTACAACGCCGAATGAGGACCGGTATTTGGCAGTTACTGCCAAAAGAAACAGGCGGAGCACAGCCTCAGACCTGTCTCGTCAGCTCTCTTCAGCCACTGGTACGACAATTTCAAGGCAGACCGTGTACAGACGCTTAGGGCAGATTGGTCTATATGCTCGTAGACCTGTCAGATGCGTTCCACTTACTGCAACTCACTGTCGCCTGCGGTTAGCCTGGAGTAGAGAGCATGCATTGTGGACACCGCAACAGTGGGCTTGTGTGATGTTTTCCGACGAGTCCAGGTTTAGCTTGCAGTCTGATTCTCGCCGGACTTTCATATGGAGAGCTCCAGGTACCCGTTACCACCAAGAAAACATCATTGAACGACACCGTTACGGTGGTGCAGGAGTGCTCGTTTGGGGTGGAATTATTCTGGGTTCCAGAACTGACCTGCATGTTCAAATTGGAACCATGACAAGCCAAATCTATCGGGACGTCATTCTGGAACAACATGTTCGACATTTGTTTGTTCGGGGCGCCATGGGCGCACAATTTGTGTTTATGGATGACAACGCCCGTCCTCACCGTGCAAACATCGTAAGCGAATGCCTTCAATCGGAGGATATCACCCGTATGGACTGGCCAGCATTCTCACCGGACTTGAATCCAGTAGAGCACGTGTGGGACATGCTTGGCCGACGAGTTGCAGCCCGTCAACCTCCTCCTACATGTCTACCGGAACTTCGGAGAGCATTGCTTTTTGAGTGGTGTAATATCCCCCAAGATCAGATCGATAATTTGATACTCAGCATGCCTAGGCGTTGTACGGACTGTATTGCATCGTCTGGGAGACATACAATGTATTAACAATCATACCAACCATGTAATATTGGTTTTTTGTAAATAGGTTTTTTTTTTTTGTAATTTGCTCCAGGGAGAAAAAATCGCTAATTTTTTAATAATATCAAACATATAGCATCTTTTTTTGCTCTTTACCTTTTGTTTAATAAATAAGCTTTACAAATAAGTCAAATTTGTTTTGCTTCTAACTCTTCCTTTGCCTGATTTTGCATTATCCTTAATTTATGGACATGAGTGTAGTTCAATTCTTTGAAATAACAGTAGATATGCATCTTTGTATTATGTTACTGACCATTACTTGCCTTGAGTTGGATCCCAGGCGAGCTGGTTGGTTAAATGGTTGGTTTTCGTGGTTTTTTCCGTGTGTAGCATGAATACAGGTTATTGTATAAGGTATTTCTCCCGCCTTCCTACCGTGCTTTCGTGATGTAGTGGTTCTGCACACTAGGCCGGTTTTCCAGAGGTCCGTGGTTCGATTCCCGACGAAGGCGATTGCAAATTTTTCATTTCTCATGCTTCCAAAAAAGTACCGAATGTCTCTACAGTGGTGCCCGAACTAAAATTTTGTTGGATGATGATTCTCCTCACCCAGGATTTAGCGATTGGGTCCCCTAAATACCCCAGTCACCCTTTAAAAGGGGGATTATATAAGGTATTTCTCCCGCCTTCCTAGCGAGCCTTCGTGGCGTAGAGGTTCTGCACGCTGGGCCGGTATTCCAGAGGTCCGTGGTTCGATTTCCGACGAAGGCGATTTTAAAATTTTCAGTTCTCGTGCTTCCAAAAAATGCCTGACATCTCTACAACTGTCCCACAGAACGTTGTTCCAGAGGGCATCCCTTTCCTTTACGTAGCCTTTAGGTGCTTTGTCGCATGTGAATAAGTTAACTACTAACCACTAGCATTGCTACACTCTGAATGAAAGAAGTTATTAAAATTATATTTATTTATCAAATACTTTTCAATGGAAAAATAAAAGTGATTAAAATATCTGGTAATTTTGAGGTACAGAACATACCGAAATTTTTTACTTTGAGCTTCCGCCTCTAGTACCAATAGTAGTGGTAGGTATGGAATCGAACAGACTTCGGATGGTACTAATGGGAAATGTGTAGTCTATGGGGCTTCAATTCCATGTCAAAGTTCACTTATCTTCCTGGCTACTAGGATATGTCAACCCAGTTTTTCTCCAACCGTTGATCAGAAGTTTTCAAGGAGTAAGAGATCTAAAGAATGCACTGACATAGGCAACAGTCAAACAGCCTGTGTGTTGAGAAAACAGAAAACGTGGGTTGGACAGTTGAACCTCGCCCATCTCACATTGTTTTGTTCAAAGACAGGGCGATGGGATATGGAGATATGGCACAGCTCAGGGAGTTAAAACATTAGTAATTTAACAAGGCCTGTTTAAAACTTTGTGCAGAGTTTAACAGAATGAGAACCCAGTGACATCCCGTATTATCTTTACAGATGAAGGGCCCATATGACGACAAAGAACACGGAGCGTATTCGAGAGGTCCAGGGTCACTTCCCGGCGAAGGCACTGCACATTTTTCATCTCTCCTGCTTCAAAACTCAAATGACTCTACAATACATATATATATATATATATCAATAATAAATCAATATATATATATATTGATTTTGACGATTACAATAAAAAGAGATGCCCACAACTACACGTTATAACAATTTTACATGCAATCTTTCACCAATTTCAATTACCTCAATTTCACCAATTACAATTCAATCCATTTTACAATTTCTTCTGGAAAAAAGAGTCTTCTATTCTATCCATAAGTACGGATGTGACCCCAAAAAAAATAAAAAAATGAAAATGAATTCGGGAACGGTTATAATGAATATTTCCGTTGAGATCTGAAACCCGAAATGTTTCGCGATTACAATACTTTTTTGCTTCTTAACCAGTTTACTGTGATTGACGAGTATACTCGTCATGGAGAAGCATAACGATTATGTGTATTGACGAATATACTCGTCATGCATACAATGCAGTGTAAGCAACGCGCGTATAAAGAAACGTAATAGAAACAGAGAAAAGAAAAATAATAGCAAAGAAACCGGAGCTAGTGATTGATTATAATAAAAAAATGGGTGGAGTGGATATGAGCGATAGAATTATCATAGCGTACTCCACAGCAAGAAAAAGACTCATAAAGTACTACAAAAAGATATTTCTCTATTTCTTAGGCATTATGTGTCTGAATGCATTCATATTATATAAAAAAATATTGGAACATTATTATGTATCAACTTTTTTCTCAAATTTATTGAAGACGCTTTTGCGACGTATCCAACTGAAAGAAAGAAATCGACACAAACTCGGTCATTTAGACCTAATGTAAGCCAATCAGGCGGGAATCATGCTCCGAATTGTATACCCGGAACATCGAAAAAAACAACCCTACGCGATGGTGTTTGCGTTGCTACAAACGTAAGATCAGGGAAAAAATCGCGTTATTAGTGTTCGATTTGCAATGTTTGCTTTGTGTATAGTACCCTGTTTCTCTGAATATCACTCCACAGCAGGAATTTAAATTCTTACTTTTATATGTATAATATTTAATTTAATTTATTGCGTTTTTAGTTTGATATGTATGTAATACATGCTTATGTTAACCAAATAAGTAAGTATTAGTAATAAAATTTTCAATTTTATAAAATAAACCCATCTTTTTCATCCAATATCTTACCAGCGCAACTTACTCTGTGATTGACGAATATAGTCGTCATGGCTCGATTCTGACGATACAAAACGGTACGCACTCTTAAACGAGGGCGCCACAGTTAACTGGTTAAAAGGGAGTAAAAAGATCTGCTATAGCGGTCCCTAGCTCAGTCACATTTCTACAGACGACTTTTAATTGCCACTTATAATATATTTTACTCTTTGTAGGATACTAGTTGGAAGTTTACGACTTTCAGAAACATAAAAAACTGTATATAGGATAAGTATCTAAATTTAGAATAAAACTCAGCGGATTTCAGCGTATAAAATCAGCTATATTGCTCATCATATTTACTCGACACTAGTGCAAAATATTCAGTTTTAATTACATAAAAAATTGTTAATTAGTTTAAAACAGTAATGTTTTTGTTTTTCTAGGTTTTACTTCGAGATTCCCAGATGCATTTTTACCCGCATTGCTCATGATTCATCTGAATGAGACATGATCAAGGACCCTCCGTTTTCCGCATATATCATTGAAAATCTCCTTTTCTTATTTGTGACGTCAGTGCCCATAATAAGTAAGTAAGCTGCATAGAAGAATTTTAATGCTTTTGAATTATGATTTAAAGAAATATTCTTTTGCTCTTCAACGTTTGTTAAAACTGCTTAATTTATTCGAAATGCAATGAAAGGAATGCATTTTAACTTATGTTAACTCGAGGTAAATACATTATAATTTAAGGATAATGGGCATCCATTGAAATTCCTTACATTGAATTCACTTTAGCATAATTTTAGTAACTTTCTGCCTAATAAGATCTCAGAGAATATGTCATGAAATGTTTATAAGCTATTTTAGAATGTTTGTTAAATTACAGACGAAGATATCTTAGAATATTTCTAAAAAATAATATGTAGAAATACTTATTAGATTACTAAATTTTTATATACTTCATTTAAATAATACGATACTTATTTTGAAAAATAAATATTACGCTGTTCAAGAAATAGTTATAGTTTTAGTTTCTTTATATGGAGAACTAGTAAAAGCCGGAAGAATACGACTGTTCATTTGTTAATAATTCGAGAATTCACAAATATATTTCACATGTACGCAGGAATATCTTCAAGCTTTTAAACCATTTATTTCATGAAAGTACATTTTATATGAAAAGATGATATAGTTATCCTAAAATAAAGTAAAAAAAAAGAAAATTTCATTTTAAGAATTTAAGATAAGAATAATTTTTAAGAAAAATTTTCCTTTGTTTGCTTAGAAAAATGTTAGTTTTTAGCAGAGTTTAGAAAATATTTTTTTTCTAGCATGATCAATTGTTTACATTATGCTGTTAGAAACAATGGTATTTTTATAGCAATTTGACTTGTTTAATTCTATAGTAAAATAAAATCCATAAAATTATGAATATATCACATTTCTTTTTTGCCCACACAGCTGTCGACCTGTACGTTGTGTTTTGTTCGTAATTTCTCGAATGACGTTTATCAGCTCTCATAATCGTTGTAAATGGGTAAAAAAATCAGTAAATGGTGGTAAACAAAGTATGCAAGTTAAAAAGTCAAGATAATTTGGAGTTATTTTTGAATCTATTTACGTTTCGCTCAACCAAAACATGTTATAACTACTCAGTGTGCAAAATATATATAATTTTTTTTTATTTACTAATTAGTTTTTCTGAATTAAAACATTTCCATTTGCACTGAATTCCGCATACCAGAATAACATTGGTCCTCAAAATTGAATCATGCCGCTTTCACGAGCAAACATTAACTCATACTTCTGTGGAAATGAACAGCCATACATAGAGAGAAAGGTATCTGGACTCAAAACAGTACCTACAGAGATTTGTTCGCAAATTTTTCAGTTTTTGTTTGTTTGTTTTTTTACTTCCTTGTAAGAAGTAAAACGGAACGATTCAAATCGCGAAAATTTTCCCGTATAATGTTTTGACGAAATAATTGATTTTGACCACTATCCAGTGCAATTTAATGATATTTTTGCATGACATCCGCAAGTAAGGCCAGAATAAAGGACTCTATGTAGATGTGCACCTCGTATTTTGGTTGTAATCCGCCGCGTAAAATGTATATAAATATATTTACATATATGTATTCACTCTGTTACCTGGCTCAGTGAGCTCAGTTTCTGTACTCTTATATGTTTGTAAATTGTGCATTTTTTGCTTTACAAATGAGAGAATTATGCTGTTCTTACCTTCTGGTTAAGGTTTTTATGCCTTCAGAAAATTTGCAGCCAATATTTGTACAATTATCAACAATTTAAAAGCTGTTTAAGTGCGGTTAAGCCTAATTTTTAAATAACATGGCGGACGTATTTGTTTGCATTTGTAACAGCATAATTGTAGATTTGTTGCCAATCTAGAGAGACTAAGCTTCGCAGCAACAGAGATAACGCTTTCATTTATTATTGCGAATTAAATCATGCTTAACCATTTGGAATTTTTTCGAGGAAGGATAAGTGTTTAAAGATTTACTTCGTAATTTTATTATATAGATATATTAGGAGTTTTTATGTATTTTTTTGCCTTGTCGCGAAGTGAGAACTGAATTAATTGAATGAGAAATACTAAATCGTCTGTGAAAAACTGTTCTTTTTTGTTTTGTTTGCTTATTTTCTTTTATACATCGTTCTAGCTTTATTATAGTATTTGAAAAGAACATTTGGCAACGATTAGATAATTCTTTAAATGATATAAATTTTGTGCATTCTGAGTTATAATATGAACGAAATATAATATCGTTAAGTGAAGCTAGCGCCAGAGTGTCGCTACTGTAAACAAATATAGTTAATTTTAAAGAGTGCATTTATTCTATTGTTGTTTGTGCGCCCTCGACGAAGTAGATTTAATTCAATCCAATAAGTTTAAATGAAATGCAAGAAAAAATGCGTATAATTTAATACTATTCCGTACAAGGAAGTCATGTGGTTTACACATCAGATTTTTTTTTTTTTTTTTTTGTTTTGTTAGTTTAGTTGCCACATTTTTTAGCACATTGTATTTACATAAATATTTTACCTTCAAATACAATAAAGCCTTTTGCAGCATCGGAAGAGGTATTTTATACCATAGCTCTCGAACAGCATTTCAAAGTCTAAGGAGGTTGTAGGTCGACGTTTGGACAACCCGCTTTTTAAAGCCCAAAAATACATAGATGATAGATCAGAAAATTCAGTAAGGGATATGAGTGAAGGGTATGCCCTTGAAACCCGTTTCTTGTTCCATTTTCTCCAGGAAATGAACAATAGATTTTCACCTGTCGTTGCTTGCTTTGTCTTGATGCAATTCTGCTGATTGATCACACTGTCTGTATATAAAACGTATTTCATATTTGAAAATTGGGTATAAATATATTTTTGGTAATATGTAGAGTTGATCATATCATTTTCGTCCACTCTCCTTATGTTTAATTTGCTGTTATATGAAAACCCAACATTCCTTAGAAAACCTTTGTTTAGAACATTGAACTATACAGTATTTCACAATTTTTTCCTCCTCTTTGATGTTTGACTTGGTGGATAAATGGATCTCTTTTTATTGCAGTCATTTAAGTACACTCAAGAATCGTCTACTGTGGCAATAAATTTCCATTTTTATCCGGATAAATGTTTCTCATAAAGAATTCTGCAGCGTGTTCTGCGTTCGGTGATATATCCTGGAGAACGACGATTCATATTATGTTGTTTCGTCTTTTTAAGATTCAAATCAGCATTAATCACTTTGTTTACAGTTGATAATGAAAATTTTAATGATTTTGCAACTCTCCTTTGACTTAGTGAACATTCTTTTAACATTCAAAATCTTACTTATGCAACATTCAAAACATTCCGTTTTTTCCTTAGATACATATTGGGAACATTTTTTCCACCTTGAAGCTAAACTTTGACGTTCTTTTCATTTATTAACAACATTACCTAGCTTTAGATATCCAAACACCATGGCTTTCAACACTTTTTTGAATAATTTGGTACGAATAATTTTATTCGGAAAGGATACAAAAATAGCCCTTCGTCCATTGCTTCTTTAAAAGCGCCATTTTTTATGAAAACAAGATTGTCAAGTAGCGGATGATAATTTACACTTTCCAAAATATAATTGCAGTTAAAAAAAGAAGTGCAAGCAGGAGATGTTTTGTTACAGCAAAGCAGAAATCGTCTAAAAATGTGCAAATAGCTTTTGTATTGCTGAAATCATTAGAACTGTATATCCTTCATTTCTACTTGTAGCCACTAGAAATAAAATTACTAAGCAATGCCATTTTGCCTCGAGCACAGATCCCAAAGATGATGTTGACGGACTGCTGCGAGTTTCTGTTGTTTTTCGTTGTGTTACTTGAATATGTGTGCTCAAGTCAACTTAAATGAGCTTCCACAGATTATCATTATTAAATCAGATGACATTCACATTCTTTTTCACAGAAACTAACTTTGTGACAATTATTTCTAAGGTCCACTAACAGCTGGAATGAGGTTAAGTTTTTTCTTATTCAACTCCAATCACAGTGCTGTCTCAGACAAAAATTTATGCAAATTTAATACCAAGCAGCATAATTTTAGCAGTAGATGTTAATTTAAATCGTAAGCTTGCGCTAAGTTCCTAATTTACTACCTGAGTAAACCTTACTGCTTTGTAAGAGGATACTTTTTTTTTAATCTTGTTAAGCTGCTTTAAGAACTTAGATACAGCTTATCCGACTAGACGTTGCTGTTTTGAAAATAAGAGAATTGTAAATCATCCTAATCTTATTAACTAGAGAAAAAACCTCAAATTGCAATTATAACGAGATTGCAATTATAACGATTATAACTAGTATTATTCCTTTTATTTGAGTTGTAATCTTGAATTTGTAAAGCGACTAGGAAGGGCCTAATAAGTAATTATTTTGTTTCAAACTGGAATTGTGTACAAGTTAAAAATTTGCAAACAGCGATCGTTGCCCCTTACCACCTAGATAATTCTGTGATTACCAATGCGTTGAAAGTTCAATTTAACCTAATTTCTTACCACAGAAGTTACAAGTTAACATATTTTTTGTTGTAATTCCGTATTAGAATGTTATTTTTCCTTGAAATACTAAATAGGATTTGCAACTCCTAAGTGAAAATATCCGACATGAATCAGTAACTGCAGCATAATATTTCAGAGAATAAATAGTTTCCTAAAAACTTTAAATTTCAAAAGGTTCAAAAAAGCACTTAAAAGGTTTGAAAAAGGAAATGTTATTAAAATAGAAAAAGTGTTAACGTAGTATATAGGAATATCTCACTCAAGGGCATACCACCAAATTTCATACAAAATACGTAAACTGCTTCAGTACTTGCATTCATTCCTCAAAGAAATGAAATGCACACATAGTCACTTTAATCTTACTGTCCATTAAAATACGCATTTTAGACAATTTTCGAGGAAATAATTCTCTGTTATGCAATTTCGAGAAACTATTTTCCTCAATTCACTTAGCAAATAGAAACCCGGTACGAAGTATTTTCAATGGAGCTGTCCCGGACGATTATCGTTTGGAACGACTGATAACACACTCA